TATTGATATCACTGTCACTGATCTTCTGAGTTCTCGCTTCAACCTTTTCCTTCAGCCACCTCAGATCCTTATTCTCTGCACTACTTCTTTCTCCAATGAGGTGGACGATCGAGATTGGAGCATAGGGTTGTATTTAATGGGCAATGTGTTGCTTTGCTGATTCAAGGAGTTCAGCCGCATGGGGTATAACACTGAACAGAGTGTTAAGCCATTGGCTGCGTCGATACCATCTAGCGTCTAGGACTTGGAATGCTGAAGGTTGTCTAAATTGGACGCATCAAGCTCCTGTATGGATCAATCCCGTGGCTGCAAATATGGTGTGTTGGAACGATGCTTGAAGGGGAAGGTAACAGTCCATCAGCTGACGAGGCACCCGTCGTGCATCACTAACAAGGTACTAACTGCCCCGGGCTCTTACTTCAGTGGCACATTTTTCCAGGTGACTAAGGCACTAATTACTCATCCTGCATCTTCTCCCGGTATTTTAATCGCCTTGCCTCTTGATACTTATACAAGCTGACACCTCCTAGATGCCTTGGGAAGTTTGACTTCTTGCTCTACCATCGTGGTTCATACGTAGCTGAAAATTCCTGCCTGGCATGCCTTTCGTACCGCGCGAGTTAGTGTTTTTGGGTGAAGGGGAGAAGGTGGAGAGGCAAGCTTGTGAGTATTGTCTATGCCTTTCGTTGTTAATTGTATTGAAGACGGGTATTTGAAGCTTTCACTAGCCATGCCAGTGGCAGTGGTCCTATTACCCTTACCCTTCCATTTTTTCCTGTTCCGTCACTGGATCCTGGTGCGGCTGGCATTTCTGGTGCTTTCGATTCCGAGTTGTCATCGAGTACGACGACGTTTGGGATACCTGCCAGTGATTCTGCCTCGACTGGCACTCCTTCAAGCTCTACACCAATCTTCGATGCTCCAACCGCTTCATTAACGACTTCTACACTACTGCCCAGCGCGACATCCGCCACTACGACCGCCGAGCACAATATCAAACGTCGTATACTGGGGGGCGTACTCGGCGGGATTTTCGGGACAATAGCGATACTCCTTCTTATAACATGCATATTTATCAAACGGCGAAACGGATACGTCTTTCGCCCACCGCGTATTCCACCGTTGGATATGTATCGCCGGCGGAGCGGAATTCCTCCAGCGATACGGCATGAGCAATCGCGGGGAGTTATTTCCTTGGGGAATCAATATCAGTATGAAGATCCGGACGTTTTATCCTTATCGGAAGGAAAACACCCAGTTAACTCTGCTGCATCCCTCAATGGACTATATAGTCCGACTATTTTTCATTCTAGAGATTTTAGCGATGCGTTCTCCGATTCTAGTCAGGCTACTCAGTCATCTATTTCCACGATGATATTGATGCCTGCGCCTGCGTTTCTGCCCTGTAGAAGTAATTTGTGAGTAAAACATGTCTAATTATTATTAATTATACCTAAATCGCGTTTTACGACTACAGTAGGAACACCATGTGATATCGGCGGGACTCCCAACCCTCATAGATGCTTACTTCAAGTTCAGACATTATATAAAACCTAATCACGTTCCTTTCCATTGACTGGACAGAAATATCTAATATGTACTATTTACCTTGTTTCAATATTGAATCCTTACAAGCGACTTCCTTTACGGCTGGGACGCAAGTTATTAACGTAAACTGTACCTTCAAGTTAACGTGCGCATATGAAGAAAAACACGCACATTAGCAAGGGAATAATGTCCCCTTCATCTTCTGAGTCTAAACCTGGATATATATCACCCATGTCTTCCAGCACAGAAGCTATAGTAGTAGTTTGATGGCCGTTTGAGTTTATGTGGAGCTCTTCTGGACATATCATGCTGTCCGACACGGCCTGACACGGTCAACCTAGACATTCACGTGTGGCTTCCCTTCTTTCCATGGAAGCGGAGAGCTCCAGCAAAGGAAGGCAATGAGTTCAATCCATTTTTCCATCAATGACGCGTAAATTATGAACAAGCTTACTTCTGGGTAGGCGCATATCCCTTCCTGTTCAAGGATTCAGGGGAATGGAAGCCTTCTTCGCTACGCAACATTGTAATCAGAGTCTATGAAAATGAAAGGAAAATATCTCGATTATCTGATAGACAAAAAAAAAAGACTATTTGCATCGCTGCCATAGCGCAATGGAATAAAATTGCCTGGAAACGCGTTCGGTCGCAGATCACGAGACTCAATCCGCCAATGAATACCACGCGGCATCTCCCGAACAAACGAGTCCTTGGCCAGCTGCGCGTCTACTGTGGCTCTCTTCACGGCGTCCTTGGCCAACACTCTCTAACACTCCTCCCGCCGACACCTCCAACATTTTTCACCCCCATGTCTCTTTTACATCCAATAACGCTCGAAGAACACGACAAACACGCCAAAACAGGGTGCTAAAAACTTCCTGACGATGACTTGACAGCGTGTTTCGGTTGGGATTCAAGGGATGCAGGCGAGACACGATGAGCTGGAGGGCAGTGATTGTAGAAGGGCGTTGTCTCTTTTACATCCGATAACGCTCGGGGAACACGACAAACACGCCAAAACAGGATGCTGAGAACTTCCTGGCGATAACTTGACAGCGTGTTTCGGTTGGGATTCAAGGGATGCAGGCGAGACACGATGAGCTGGAGGGCAGAGATTGCAGAAGGGTGTCAATGGGCGTTACGCGATGCGCAGACAAACATTTTTTTCTTCACGTCTTGGCTGGCCTATTTCTACTCGAAACGTCGACCGGGTCGTTGTGCTCACGTCTCCTACTACCCTCCCATCTTCAAGTACAACTTCGTTTACTCGTCCTGGTGACATCTCTAGAGTCGTAATGAAATCGCTATTCTTCTTTGTGGTCGCCGCTGCGGCTTATATCACTGGTGCTGTGGCGCACTGTACGTCCCTACCGTCTTCTGCGCTTCATATCCACTAAGATACCCCCTTTTTTTCCAGATACGTTCCCAAATCTCATCGTTAATGACGAAGTGACTGGCGACTGGAAATATGTCCGCCGCACCAACAACTGGCAATCCCGTATTCCTGTGCGTAGCGTCCCGAACTGCCATAGCGTCCATATCCTCATATCTGCTTCATTACGATCTAGGTCAAAGGCGTGACAGGGCCTGAGTTCCGCTGCTTCAACACTGAGATCAACGAGCCGTCAGAGACGGTCACCGTTTCGGCTGGCTCGACCCTCGGGTTCAAGGCTGAGCAGAGCTTGTACCACGCTGGCGTAAGCACGGCCCTTCTATACCATCTTTAGGTTTCGCAGGCTCATATTTATCCTTATACGCGTAGGTTATTAACATCTACATGGCTAAAGCCCCTGGCAACGTCGCCGACTGGGACGGCGACGGCGAGGTCTGGTTCAAAGTTCGTCTCCCACCGCTCACATATCTTTCAAAGCCTCTTCTGACGTCCCTCCTTCACTAGGTGTACGAACTCCCCGCCATAACCGACGGTGGCAACTCGATGCGCTTCCCCGCGCAAGGTATCGACCGTGTAACCTTCACCATCCCGCCCAACCTTCCCGACGGCGAATACCTCGTGCGCCTCGAGAACATTGCGTTGCACCTTGCGGAGACCTACGGTGGGACTGAGGTGCGTCTTCCTTCTTGCAGTTCTGTGGCTTGGGTCGAGCCTTACTTGCGCGTTTGTTATAGTCCTTCATCTCGTGCGGCCAAGTCAAGGTCGTTAATGGCGGGAATGGCGAGCCGGGACCGAAGGTGGCGTTCCCGGGCGCGTATTCGGGGTATGAGCCTGGTGTTTTGATTAATATCTATCCGCCTTATCCTGCGAGTTATGAGATGCCTGGTCCGGTATGTCTTGCCCAAGCCCAAGTCCTTTGTGACGATGTGCTGACGCTTGAGTGTTTGTTCTTAGGATGTCTGGACTGGATAAGCATCTTGTTGGTGCGATGGTATAGTGTTGCTGGATCTATGTTGGAGTGTAATTTGGATCGGGTATTCTTAGAGTTTCGTTGTGTTAGGTGTATTCTGGATCATGTATGGTGTATATTTATCGATCAATGTATGGATTGTTTTGCTGTTTCGGCCTATTATCTCTCAACATCGTGGATCGATGCCTCAGAGGCGCTATTCCTATCGTGGGTGTTTGGTTCGTTAAGCAAGGAGGTGCATACCCGCGTTGCGGTAACTTGGGTCGGCCTTACTTCTAGGGTTGCTACCTGTCTTGTCTTAGCTCCTCTTTGCACTATTCAGCCTGATAGGTATCTTCCTTATGTGCTTGTTCCTTTGCTGTCGGTCATACTACATGGATCCCAGACGAAGGAGACTATGTCTAGGTACGTGGCCTGTAACATGCTCAATAATGAACGACACTGACATCTTCGCCACAGGCAATACATATCATACCAGATACACAGCGCCAATGTTCGTATTCCAACATCTTTACTCGATAGCATCCGACCGCCAACGATCCAAGACCGACCTTCCTCCGCTCCGGACGCCCTGAACACTGTAACGGTAGCTATGCTAACCGTTACCCGAATCACACTGTGACTCGTTCAAGCTCCGAGTCACTCCGCAGCTTACATCCGTATTCGGCCGTTCAGTTTCGTCCTGCAGATCACGGGTTAATTATGGAATTATGCTATTTCTAATTATTCATGTTGTTCGTCTTTCATGTATATAAGGTCCGCTCGATTGTTCATTGTTTCCTCGCGTAGTCAACACCAGTAATACCTGTATCTACATTTCTTCCCACGAATACCACTTCTCTGCTTAGTCAACTGTTGACCTCGTCCCTCGTCGTTACAAACACGCAGATGCGCACTTGTGAAGTGATCGTTTCATACTTAGGTTACCTCCGATGTATACAGTATGATATTAAACACCCTATGCGGATCTCAACAAATCAAGATGATCAAGACAGTTAGCTTTTCCTTTACATTATCGTCCCATTATCCATGAGGCCAATACTAGCCGCCCGAAATCCCAAGACCATCCGTAAACTTCCTAAGTCACAAGGCGAGATGGCCGAGTTGGTCTAAGGCGTGAGACTAAGGTCCTTTACAATCTAATCTCATCTCTTCGGGGGCGTGGGTTCAAATCCCACTCTCGTCAACTTTTGCTGTGCGGATTCGTGAGGCATTATGTCTTTGTGTTTCTCAGGTTCAAACCGATTTGTGTTCTGGACGACATGCCAAGTATCGTATGATCCTTCCAAGATGAGCATTCGCTGAACCGGACGTTGATTCATTGGTACGTAAAAAACATTTTATTTTAGGCACTAATTGTAGGTGATGGTTCGCTGGCAGTCCTTCTTCCCAACGTACTAATCAGATGGCAAACTCCCTGTCAACCTCTCCAGAACTCCAATTAACGAGAAGAATACTTCCACTGACACGAAGCCCACTGAACGTCCTGAATGTCCAAATGGCTATAACCCGTCCAGTCTCCCCGACAATTACTTACGGACGTCCTGACATATCCATAGGATCCTGCTACTTGCTGCTTCTATCGATCTTAAACCGGCTGGTCATGGTTTTGACAGCCGGAGGGAGGTACGGAGGCTCCTGGGCGTGGAGGTTCCTTCCTTCCTATGTTCGGAGCTCTTCTGAGATATCAATATTATTTGACTAAATACCCATTTCGTTAGGCTGTTCTTAGGTACAGAGAGTACATGATCCCAACAGAGAGTACAATGACACTGCATTAGGCAGTTAACGTGCAACGGAGGATCAACTTGTTCTTCCCTTTGAGGTTTGAAAGCAAGTATCAATATCTAAGGTAGTTAATGGAGTGGAGTCAAGAGATATCGGGTAACTCAGAAGTACGTGAAATGTCATCGTCTCGATTCACTACTCATCTTTTGCCTTTGGGGGAAATTTCAATCGAAGATAAGACACCCTGTCCTATTTTTGACAGGGTCTAAGAATTCAAAAATTATTCCATGCATTCTAATTATTTAAACCTTATTCCTGCAGCGGGGCTTGGAATAACAACAGATGCAACTGGTTGGCTTTTACCGCTGAATCCGCGTTACCGCGCAGAAATGTCGCTGAATGAACTAATGGTTATAGGCGATATGTTGAAGGCAAAGACTCCTATTGCTCACCGGTGGACAAGACATGTTGGCATATACTCATTTACGTTCATGACATGAAAATTCCTAGAGAAGAAAGTAATCATTCTACAGGGTGAATGCTTTGGATTGGAATTCCGTTCTGAATCAGCTCAAAGACATCTCGCACGGCGGGAATCGATGCAGCAGATTGTATATTTTAACAAGTGCCCATCGATTAGTGGTTAAATCAGTTCGTTGTGGACTTTCTGCAAGACCGAACAGCCCCGCGTTCGACTCGCGGTGGGCACAGTACTCTTACTGTTCTTTTGTTATTGCTGGTGGCGAGCGTACTGCTCTCAATTGTTTCCGAGATGTTTCTTCGAATTTTTGAAAGGCAGTTTTCCTTTCCTTTTCCAGTTCTAAACGCTTGTGAAGTATGTAATTGGGTCGATAGGCTATTCTACACCGTCATCGGTGCCCATCGATTAGTGGTTAAATCAGTTCGTTGTGGTTTATCTATAATGCCGAACAGCCCCGCGTTCGACTCGCGGTGGGCACATCACTTTTTGTTATTTTTGCTGGCCTCGCCGAGTGAATCGCCACAACCAGTACTTCCCTCCCAGCTTCCAAATGAGTAAAGCAGTGGGGAGCCGTATGTTCCAGTCTAATAAAATATTTTGAATTGGAATCGATGTGGTCCTTTTAAATTATGAATATTATTGAAAGCCTACGAAGTGATGATGTCTGGTATCAAGGATAGGCTCGCCGTCTGGCACAGATGCAATGGAGTGTTCCCTTTCACAAGTGCCCATCGATCAGTGGTCAAATCAGTTCGTTGTGGATTATCTACAATACCGAACAACCCCGCGGTGGGCACATTGCTTTTTGCTTCTCCAGTTTCATGGAGCAAATAACACATTATATTTTGTTGTGCACTGAAAGACGAATAACCTACACTCGCACAACGATGTTACATTTACTTTACTTTCTTACAATATGAACAAGAAAAAGAAAACAGACAGCATAGTACACATACGGTATTCAGAATTTGAAAGTGTCTAGAATTTAGTCCAAAGCTTGGGAGCCCCACTCCAACGAGCAAACACAGCTGCGACTCCTCCTGCGATCAATAGCACGCCGACGAAAATTTGCAGGCCTAAAAAGTTGCTGTGGCCACTTGTTCCGAGAATAGCTAAGAATCACATCAGATACATCGCAAGATCATCACTGAAATGGTTTACCTCCAGCAATAGAAGGCCCCGTTAGGATACCTGGGGCTAGACAAAGTCTTCAAGTGAAATGGTCAAAGCAGGATCAAAATGCATAAACAATAAACTCACAAGAACATCCCTGTACGAGCCCCTACGCGTGAAGGTTCCATGGTTATTTGGGAGACACAGCTGGCAGCGATGGAGGAATATGAGGCTATAAATGGGATCAGGGCGTGTGCCATCAACTTTGCTGGGATTCCCCTTACCGGACGTTGCGCCAAAGCTGGAGCATATTCGCAATAAGAAGCTGCAGAATTAGGAAGATGATAAAAAGACGTACATAACTGCGAACACTATGATTTCTGCTACCGTCGTAGAAGTGCTCCAGATGGCCAAAGAGGAGATGCCGCAGAGAAAGGTAATGGGAATCACGGTGTTGAACCGCCCATACTATCACGATCCTCAATTAAACGTCCACAAAACGGGAAAGCATCGTACCTTATCCGCGAGATATCCTGTGATAACTCTCCCTAAAAGGCCCGCCGCGTTCATAATGGATATAACATAGAATGACAGATTCGGATTAACGCCTTTCTGTAGTGAGAAAATCTCAATATACCAGAACGGCGTATAAAGAGCTGAAATCGGAGTCAATTTATTAATCTGCCAGTATAGAGTCGGACTTGCCAAATGCAACGAGAAATCCACTTATGCAGTGGTATAAGAACGTCGGTTCTTTATAAGCCTGGACATCTACTAATGGAAGCCCGAGGCGAGGGGGGAGTCTCTCTTTGACGAGGGGTATCGCAACTGCCTGGCATCCAAAGTTAATGAATGCCAGAATTCGGACAGTCCATCCAAATCCGACTGATGCGAATAACCGTGAGAGGACAATGGGGTAAATAATACCGCTGAGACTTGACCCGGCGATGACCTGGAGGGTGAATATAGGGATCAGGAAGGGCGTAGACGCTCTTTTAAACAACGTACGATTCCCAGAGCTATGGCACGTCTCGAGCGGAACCAATGGGACGGTACGGCCAACTGCGGCAGTTAGACGGCAATATCAGGATTTAGGGGACGAATGGCTCACCAGAGGATAAAATCTGCATATTCGTTTAGTCATGGATAATAATGGAGGGATAATTCACATACTGGATAGCAATTCCAATTCCCAAACCCACGCCTTGGGAGAGAAGTATCTGGTAATACGTAGAGGATAAAGACAACATCATCAAACAGAATGCCGAAAGGATCCAGCCTGTGATCAAGAGTCCCTGTACATATGTTAATTGTGATCAGCAAGATAGATCGAGGCAGTATGCTCACCTTCGCACCGTAAATATCGAAGACACGTCCGAGGATAACGCCACTGAAATATGTCAGCACTAGTTGGATGCTACCAATCCAGCTGATCTCGGAGGCAGTGTGGTTTTTGAGTTGATGTTCAGCATAATATGTTTGGAACACGCCGAATGCGTTGAGTTGCCCTGAAAGGTAATTAGTGTCGTATCGCGCACATGATGCATAAAATAGGTTTACCATAGGAACTAAACGAGAGTAAGAAACACCCTAGTATATTCAGCCATGCTCGTAGCCCGCCGTCAGGGAATGTAATCGGTGGCTGTTCCTTGACCTCTTCCTGCAGATGGTGTCAGCGACGGCCGCGAGTTTAGCATGATGCACACCTTGGAATCGGATGACGAGGCGATATCTGCAGAGAAGCTTTGCGTGAGGGAGTTCTCCCGCTTTATCGACGACATGGTGGTGAAGGGTAGGAGATAGGATGCAGAGAAAATAGGTCGTTTGTGTGACGCCTCTAAATATGCCTGTGCGTGCCTAAGAGCGGAACAGACTCAGAAAGGGTACGCAATCTAACTAGATGCAACCTTTACTTTCCAGTTAAATGTCCTACTGCGGGTGGGCCATGCAATCCGGCTGTAGCGAGTTGGTATCGCGGAGAGGATCAACCTGTGCAATAGGTGCTTCCGCTCCACGTTGGTCTAAACATTGGCATTAGCGCTGGGCTCGAGTTAATTCATTGCAGCATCGGGTTCTTCGCCTCGGAAGCCCACGGATAGGCTAGAAGCCAACCTATCAATCGGTATTGACTGAATGTTAGTATATCCCTGAATGCACTTGATCTTAACTGTTCGCATGATTCTGTTGAAATTCAAATGAAGGTCAGATCCAAGGAGATCAGGTATCCGCGGAGATGGGCTGGCCGAAGGAGCTCATCAAAGTCTCTGTCCTTGAAATGATATTTAGGCCGTATCAGGGACGTTTGTTTCCTCCTCGGGCACACTTTCGGCCAGATATGCAGAGACGTAACAGAATCGACTGCGTCCCCGCATTACACCAACTGGATTGAGTTGTGCATCAAACCGAAGTGCGTGCAAACGTCATACAATTTGAATAGGGATATGAATAGCCATAGCGAACACCAGCTGTAAATGAATAGCCATAGCGAACCGGCTGTAAATGTAGTTTTATCAATGCTTGAGATCAATGGCAGAATTCCTTACTTGCTTTAATGGTATATAGAGATCGGACACGATGGAGCTGAAAAGGAGATATAGTGTCCTTGTTGACTGAATGATCTTCAGACTCGGTGACATTGGCGCAGCTATTTCTGTTCGCTATTCAGATTCGGCAAGGACCGTCCATGGATATATACTGGTGTAACTGTAAGAGCTGCAATGCGTACTCCGGAAGTGAACACGCAAAAGAGCCAACTAGGGACGCCATGGAGACACGTACCATGCTCGATGTTGCACCGGTGTTCCCTGAGTTCATGTGGGAGCCATCACGACTTAGCGAACAGTAAAATACTTACGCACAACTTT